AGCTCCAAAAGATTCTTGTCACTCATTCGTCTGCCATGTCTACCTCCTCAATTAAAGGTTTAAACTCTTCTTGTTTGTCAGGTATATTTCCTTCCATGTGGATTCTAGACTCAAGAGCATCACACCATATGTCATATGATGCTAAATCATTTGTGTCTTTGAAAATTGCACCATCTATGTCATTTATGACTGCAGATGACACTCATATGCCATTAACAGGTATTGGTTCTGTCTCCACACCTAATTTGTCATTTTTTTTAATGTTTATTATATTCCTAACCTCAATTTGAGACTTGCTTCTATTAGTCAGTTGTATGATTCTGGTTACTGATTTATATTTTATTCCACTTTTAGTTCTGTGTAGGATCCTCAATTCGGGAGGAAAATTGGGGCAGACCATAGACAAGGGGGACTTTATGTCATGGATGAGTTGAGATTCCAGATACTGCAGCCTCAGCCTCTAGTTCCACAACTAATCTACTATCCTCTTTTCATTTGAATTCTCCATCTTCTAGTTTTTATTTATGGCATTACCGTCTTTGACAGGTCTATGATTCTAGATTAAAGTATTCGGCTTCTACTGGAGCTTTAGGAAAGTTACAAACCAGTGATATTTCTGATTGTTGTGGTTGTAAATTTCATGAATTTTCAACTTTACCAATTAGTAAAAGTGTTTCCACTTTGTATAAACAATTTGACTTAGTTCACTCTAATGCATGGGGTCTATCACTGCTTCTTACTAAGGGTGGATCTAGATATTATATTTCATTTATATATGAATGTACTTATTATTGTTAGGTTTATCTTATGAAAAATCATTCTAAATTTTTTGACATTTACTGTATGTTTCGTACTATGGTTAAGACTCGACATAATGTTGTTATAAAATGCTTCCGTTGTGATTCAGGTGGTGAGTATACATCTAATAAATTATTTGAATTGCTTGCTTTTGATGGTAAAAATTATCAAACATCTTGTAATGATAATTGTTAGGTGCCAAATTTCACTTATTTGATCTATCAAATATTGACATCTTTCATGCATTTTTGTCAAGAAAGTGTTGAAAACCACTCTTGCTTTGTTTGGTTTGAAATATATTGTGAAAATATCTTGGTACCTTTGATTTGTGTGTTATTGTGCAGGAATTAGGCACAAAACAAGTGAACAGTAAGACACAAGAAATATGACAAAGACACCAAGACAACATGCAAACAACAAAATGTTGTCATGCTCGCTAGGCGAGCAGGTAGCAAAGAGCTAGCGAAGAAAACCAGTCAAGCTCGCTAGGAGAGAAGGTAGCGAACAGTTCCAGATTTGGACAGAACCGAAAGTATCATAAGTTCGCTAGGCGAAATCAGAGCGAAGGCTTCGCTAGTTGTTCGCTAGGCGAACATGACAGATCCTGAATGGGTTATTTAAGTGTTTTTATTGCTTTTTAGGTCATTATTCCATATTGTAACATTTCATATAGCAGAACTTATTTTTCTTCATCTATTTTAGAGAGGAACACAAAACCCTAAGAGGGAGGAGGTAAGATCTTTGATCTCTTGTTGGGGTTTGGATGTAATCTTTTGATACCTTATGTATTTCATCTAATATATGTTTGTGAACTAGTTCGGATTCTCTATTGATTAATTATCTTTGATTGTTTATTTGTGGGTCTTGACAAAACCATTTCACATCTTTGATCTCAGATTTTATTCTATCAATGAACAAACCTTTGACATGGTTTTGAAGTGGATATTCATTGTATCTTCTATGGTGTTGTGTTGATTAAGTAGCATGCGTAGCATGGGTAGGATCAATATGATATTGTGTGGGTATGTGATAATAGCGATGAAGAACGATGTTCACGACCATTTGGCGGATTAGATGAATACATGTAAAAAGGGTTAAGCGTGTGTACATATTTTGATCACTATGTTTTATGCAAAACAATCATTTATCCGATATGGGTGTTGTCTTTGTTTACCTGTTTATCTTTGATTTGAATCGTGATAGAGATACACTCTTCAGATCTGGATCTAGGATGATTACCTGTTAGGTCCTAAATGCTAGAGATAGGTTTAGGCTTAACATTTGCGTGAGTATCAGTTTGTAATGCTCTATGTTGTGTTTTTGTTGGATGAAAGATCACCAATGAGACAGCATGGTTGTTCTCTCGACGTTGCGTTAGAGATAAGCTTTGTCGTGAGTGATATGTGAGGATATTAGACGAATGATTGCGTTGTGTTTAATTTGATCAGAAGAATGCATATGTTATCAATTGATGAGATCCAATCCCAACAAGGCTCCGTTTATATTTCAGTCTTTATTTTATATTTTATGTTTTTATCTGTGGTTCCTTGAACCTTTTAAACCAAAACTTTTGAACAATAAGCTTAGAAATGTAGAGGCCGTTGAACGGCGTTTATATCGCACTAATCCCTGTGGAGACGATAAAACAGGGTACTTAATATTTTTTACTTGCTGCTTTATTGCTTCAACAATACTCCTCAACAGAATGGAGTTGTTGAAAGGAAACACCGTCACATTATTGAGACTACTCGTACCATTTTCTTGTCTGCTTCGGTTCCTATTGAATTTTTGGGTGATATAGTTCTTAATGTTGTTCATGTTATTAATAGAATCCCATCGTCTGTCACATCAGGTTTGTTCCCCTTTGAAAAATTGTATAATTATATCCCAAGTTATTCCTCTTTTAAAGTGTTTGGTTTTACTTGCTTTGTTCTTCGCCCACAAGTAGAACGTAGTAAGTAATATTCTCGTTCTGCTATATGTATTTTTCTTAGTTATGGGGATGGTCAAAAAGGTTATTGTTGTTATAATCCTGGTGCAAAGAAATTGTATGTTTCTCGGCATGTTGTTTTCCTTGAACACATTCATTTTTACTTTCTTTCTTCTAATTCTCATATTACTAGTAGTTCAAAACTTTCCCATATTGATCCTTTTAGTCATAATGATAATGTTTCTAGTGATTTTAATTTTTAGAATCACAAGACTAATAATACTTCTACTCCATACACTGACATCCCTCTTGTCCCCACGACTACCCAAGAACCTCCTGCAATTGTTGATCCTCCGCCTCTCTGTTATCCCTCTTGTGACCGTAAGTCTACTCAATTTCCTGATTTTGTATATTCCACTTACTCTACTTCTTCTTCTTCTTCTTTTATAACCTCTATCCATAGTTTTTGAGTCCTCTTCTTATAAAGAGGTTATTCTTGACCCTCTTTGAAAGCAGGCTATGATAGAAGAAGTTTCTGCTTTGCGTAAAACAGATACTTAGGAATTAGTACATCTTCCTCCTAGAAAATGTGATATTGGGTCTCATTGGATATACAAGGTCAAAATTAAGTTTGATGGATTAGTTAAGTGCTACAAAGCACGTCTTGTTGATAAAGGATTCTCTCAGCAATATGGTATGGATTATGAAGAAACGTTTACTCATGTTGTTAAGTTGACTACAGTATGCACTCTATTGCAGTTGCATCTGTTAGTCAATGGCATATTTCTCAAATGGGTGTTAAAAATGCTTTTCTAAATGGTGATCTTCAAGAGGAAGTTTATATGGTACCCCCACAAGGTGTTTCTCATAATCAAGGGGAAGTGTCTAAGTTGAAGAAAACTCTATATGGTCTGAAACAAGCTCCACGATCTTGGTTTGAGAAGTTTACCAATGTGATTACATCCATTGACTTTCGCCCTAGTGATCATGATTCTGCTTTGTTTGTCAAGACCACCTATCATGGTCGTATTTTAGTCTCATTATATGTTGATGATATGATTATTACAGGTGATGATATGGATGGAATTAACTATTTGAAATTACAGTTAGCCAAACAGTTTGAGATGAATGACTTAGTATCTCTTCGGTACTTCTTGGGCCTTGAAGTTGCTTACTCTTCTAGAGGCTATTTTTTCTCTCAATTCAAGTATATTGCTAATATTCTTGAATAGACTCGCCTTTCTGATACTAGAGTAGTAGATAGTCCTCTTGAGTTGAATGTGAAATATACTCCATTTGATGGTATTCCTCTTCCAGATCCCACCTTATATCGCACAATGGTTGGCAGCCTGATGTACCTTATAATTACTAGACCAGATATTGCTTATGATGTTCATGTTGTTAGTCAGTTTATTGTCTCTCTACTACAGTGCATTTGACAACCGTTCTTCGCATATGTTGTTATCTCTGGGGAACCCAATTTCAGAGCCTTTTCTTTCCATCATCGTTCTCATTGGAACTGCGTGCTTATTTTGATATTGATTGGGCTGGAACCCCACAGAGTTTATATCTTTCTTGGAGACTCTCTTATTTTTTTTGGAAGAGTAAGAAACAAGATATTGTCTTCCATTCTTCTATAGAAGTTGAGTATCGTGTTATGACATCCATCACTCTTGAAGTAGTTTGGTTGCGTTGGTTACTTTCTCATATAGATGTCATTCTTTCTGAACCAACTCTCATATATTGTAATAACAAGAGTGCCACTCAAATTGCTTGCAACTCGGTCTTTCATGAACGTACCAAACACATTGAGATTGATTGTCACTTCACTCGTCATCATCCTCAGCATGGCACAACTACTCTACAGTTTGTCTCCTCCGCTTTATAGGTTGCTGATTTGTTTACGAAGATACATTCCATTAAATGTTTTCGTTTTTTGATTGACAAACTCTTGAAACTTCCTACTAATGCATCTTGAGTTTGAGAAAAAGTGTTAGATATTATTATTATTATAATTGTTATTATTATTGTTTTATAGTATCGTTTTAAGGGTAGTTTGGTATTTTCCTATATAGTATTTATACTCGGGTGTTTCTTTGAAATATTCTTCAATGATAAAAGATATATTGAAGATAATAATATATGAGAGACAGATAAGTACATATTGTTAACAATAATGAACACAAAAATCAAAAGATATTACATTTTGCATCAATATTTTGAATGTTGAATCATTTCTCTAAGACAGATAAAAAAGAGTAAGTGAATTTACTCAGTAATTTCTTGGTAGAGTCACAGATAGACTAACAAAGACAGCAAACAGAAAGAGCAAAAGACCAGTAAAATTCACTATTAGTGCCTCTTGGTTTTTGAACAATTCTAAAAACCTAAAATATTCAACCAAACCCGTCTCAGCAGTGCCAACTGCAAGGAGAAATATCACAATTCCTAGAAACTTATGCCATGGCAAAAGTGTAGCTCTTGTAGAAGCATCTGCTCCCGGGAAGAAGTAAGCAAAGAATCCCACTATATACTGCAAACCAAATGCAGAAATTGCTGAGATACCTAGCCAAGAGTGCAAACTATACATATCAGGAAGACCTGCCTCTTTTTTAGATTTGAAAACTGCAATAATCCCTAAAACTCCTGATGCCAGAGCTATCAGATGGAGCAACAGATGAACCACTTTTCCTGAGCTTCTTTTCCCAGGGACGGCTTTGTATGTTATGATAGCTGTTGCAAAGTTTCAAAATAAGTAATATTATTGTGTTACATATTATTACTTTAACATTAGGTAATTAAAATCTTTAATAACTTACCTTCACCACCTACTAAGATAAACCCTATTACCATTAGAAGTGGATGGAGCTGCAAATAATGGAATAGAAAATTTTAGTATATGCATATTTTCACACCATATGATCAATTAAATTGTATGGAAAATCAAACTCACGTTAAATATCTTGAGTTTGTTGGAAGAATTGAAAGCAACGCCATCACGGAAATGAAACAACCAAACTAACACAAGTGTTGTTATTGCTATGAATAACAAATGGACAAATATGGTAACTGAAGTCGCTCTAATTTGGAACCCACGAGGCATTATTCCTCACAACTAGAGACTAAATGGATCTAAGAGACAAAGATGTTCCTATGAATGGTTATATATAAAAGGAGGAATCAAAGTATGTAAACTATGCATGCATAATTGTAACAGAATGCTGACAAAAAGAATCACATAACCGTCAAGCCGGCAGGTAAATTGGTGATGAGGTCAATAACATGGACATACTCTTGTTTGATTCTAATCATTTTGACGTTGGAATATTGAACGGCAGGAAATTCAATATATACCTTTTAGAGTTTTGAAAGCTATTCTCTATTTTAGAGATTTTTGTTTTTTTTTTGTTTTTAATTTTGAAAATTATGAAGAGAAAAAAAAATGGTATTTTTTTGGTACAAATTTGTAATATAATTCAACTTTAATATAGTTTTAAAAGTAAGGTATTAAACATATTTTTTAAATTTTTTTCAAAATCGTTTTTTTAAATTGGTTTAGAAAATAGTTTTAAAAAATTAAAATTAAAACTCATTCAAAGGAGCTCTTGGTGTTGGTAGGGGTGTTCGCGGGCCAATTTTGTTTAGTTTTAAGAAAATTCGAGCATTTAACTTGCCACACCCTCTTTTGTACCTGGCACCCCCACATAATTTCATAATTTCAAAAGTATCCAGCTAAAAATTTTAATCAAATTTACATACAAAATCTATGGTAAGAACTAATACCAAAATTTTAAAAAAATTATGTGACGTTTGTAATTTTACCGATATTTTTGAAAATTATCATGTTATACCGGAAATTTCAACAAAAGTGAAATTTCAACCAAAGTGAAATTTCCAGTAGTTCAATTTTATAAGATTTCAAACGGTTAGGATTTTGGCGACAGTTTTGGACGATTGTGATTGTACCGACAATTTTGTGTGGTCCAAGATGAACTCAAAGTTGTATAAATAAGGGTCACTTTTTATTGAGAAAAACATCTCAAAATGCATCTTCTTTAGTTTTCGATTAAGGAAGAAGTGTACTTCAACAGAGTTGCGCCTCCTATAGAGTTCCAGCTTCTGAATGGCACCACATCTCTCGCCACCTTGACAACCAAATTAAATGAATTGTTGCCTGATACTGATAACATAAAAGTGAGAAAGATTTAGTTTCGTGAAGATTGGATTAATATTAACGGAAGGGTGAAATGCAACCTTAATGAGTTGAAGACCGATGAAGATTTGACGGTTACGTGGAGATTATTTCATCATAGGCTAACTAAGGGGTCGATCGAGTTAGATGTGAAGATTTAAAAATCTGTCGACGACATGATTAAGATGTTGAAACGTCCAGAATCATCTGGTAGTGTTTAACTTTTCTTATTTATTATTTTTTTTTAAGTTATGTAATTGTTTGTCTAAGTCGTGTAACCCTTTGTCCAAAACATTATTTGTGTTATGTGTGATGCCTGCGATAATCCAATAAAACCTCACCATCTGGATTTACCAAACCATAACGTTGTCCATAATAAATGCATTCATATGTAGGCGTTGCTGGTCATCGGCATTAGTTGGAGGTGGTGGCTGCAACATGTCATCAGCAGGTACCCCAGCATCGTAGGCCCAACATCATCTGTATGCTCAACCGGTGGGATGATGTGAGGGTGTGAGACAGTAACGTACCACTCCAGGTAACCATCCTCACACTATGATTCGTGTTGAACCCATTGCGCTATCTCTAATGGCACGAGCAAAGCTGGTGATTTTACTCTGAAACCACCTGCCAATGCCAGCAACGCTAGAACATCCGGAACTGGTCATGGGATGCCCTGGACATAACCATATTGTCGCAGACACCTCTCAGGAAAGTGTCTAGCAACTAAGTTCTTCCACCACATATAACCAGCAAATAAAGAATACTCGACAAACTCACGGTGGACTCTATGACCTGTGTATGGTGTCTAGATGACTTTATATATAGTCAGCGCATCAAGCATCCTCATGTATTCTACAACACCACCTAGATGTACCTGCATGGCCTTCCATCTCCTTCTTCGTCGAGCGCTATTAGGGGTATGTTGCACCCTCATATCATAGATGGTGGAAAAATTCTTGTATATCCAGCACTGATAAATGAACACAGACATAACAAATAATAATTAAGAAATTTTATTTGTAACAATTAAGTAAGAACTAAACTAAAAATAGGAATCTCAAGTATACCTGGAATAGACTCAAATAACCAGCAAGTTGTCTAGTCTCAAAGGCAATCGCAACTCCAAGTGTTGTATATATGATGGTCAATGCAACACCCCCCCCCCCCTCAAGCCCAACAGATATCGTCAAGGCTACTGAATAGCCACATGTACCGAGCATCAATATACACATGAGACTTATCCGCGCAGAGAATACATGCTACTAAATGTAGCATGTACCCCCTAGCGATAGCCTCATACATTTGTGTCTCTATAAGCTCTTCGTACCTATCCCGAGGCCAAGACATCTGAAGGTGACCTCTCCTGTTAAAATCAAACTCCTCTAGCATGGCCTCCTTAGTAACTCTGAAATCTCTAGCAGCAACTATACATGTAAGCTTCTGGCTAATAATAAGAGCGGTGAAGAATCTATCTATGATGGGAAGATGGAACAAAGAGGATACATCATATAGAGTGATAGTCATCTTTCCAAACAGAAGATGAAAGGAAGAAGTTTCCTTGTGCCATCGCTCAATAAAAGCATCAAGAAGTGAAGTTTCGAGCATGGTGAGTGAGTAGACATAAAATGAAAGGAGACTAAAATCATGTACAATTAGCTTAGGGAAGTTCTTCATCTTTGACCCGTGGGATGTCACCTTCAGTGGGAGACGACCATGTAATAACCAGTTTTTTTAAAAAATATCAGTTAGCGTTCAACACATCATGGAAGAACAATAACTTAATTAAAGTTAAACATAAAATACATATACATATCCCTTCCATAATCGGTATGCCACATGATCAGCATACTCGATAAGCATTTATCAGTCAATGGGTCCTCCCGGGAACTCTCCATCAGTGTGTATAGATGGCTCCATCGAAGCAGAATTTGTAACCTTTGTATCAATGGTGGCAGAACGGGTTGAATATATGGCAGCCACCTGATCAACAATAGGGGCGTCTGGCTAGACCACCTCATCAGCAACATGTATCACATTTGTTTCGACCGCTGGGTCATGAACAACCTGAACCTACACCTCCTGAGCATGAAAAACCTCAGCATCATCTTTGGGTTACTCGTCTGATCTAACCTCTTGGTGTCGGGTGCTACAAAGTGTGAGGAACTTCCCATACTCAACCAACCGTTTTTTGTATGAACCGGTTAGAACTACTCGTTTATCCCGTAGATGGGAAGACTCAACCTCAATAGCCTTAGCCTAGGTTGTCTCTCTATTTATGCCCTACTTGCAATGGTATTGTCCTTTCCCCTGTATTTCACTGAAAAACGAAGAAAAAAAAGCAAAATATCAGTTAACTTCCGAAAATTTTGAAATTCCCCACATATCACTGGAAATTCTAAAATTTCTGGGGAAATCTAAATTTTTTGAATTGTCGGAAATTCGGAAATTTCTGGTAAAATAATATGCAAAAATACCGGGAATTTTGAAATTTCCGAAAAAAAAATGCATATAAAAATATCAAAATTTGAGATATTCCCAATACAAAATCAAAAGATTCTCATGAAAATTTTGAAATTTTCAGAAGAAAAAAACACTTGTTTTTTAAAATTTTCGGTAGAGACTTGGCAAGTTCATTAAGGATTATGAAAAGATTGTGATGCTCTTCAAAGTAACCAATGCCGACTATTTTCATGGGTTATATGAACCGTGTATTCCATTAGTTCCTTGACAAGTTTGTGGTAATCTTCATTTATGACATCTTAATTTACACTCAGACCCCACAAGAATACATAAGGCATCTTAAGAGCGTACTTTCAATTTTGGGGGAAAGTAAGCTCTTTGTCAAGTTTAGTAAGTGTGAATTTTGGATGTCAAAAGTAGATTTCTTGGACAATTAATCTCTCAAGGACGGGTAGCGGTCAATCCCTCGAAGGTGGAAGCAGTGTTGAATCTGGAGATACCCAAGAATACATCCGAAGTGAGAACTTTCTTAGGACTTATAGGCTACTATCAAATATTCATCATGAAATTCTCGCATATAGCCCTACCATTAAATCAATACACTTGTAAGGAGAATTAGTTTCAATGGGACTCTGAGTGTGAGCAAAGCGTCCAAAACTAAAGAAGAAGATGCCCACCACCCATGTCTTAGTTATTCCAGACCTTATGCAGAAGTACAAAGTATCACGTGATGCCTCGAAGAAAGGATTAGGGTGTGCTTTAACAAAAAAAAATGGACAAGTAGTAGCCTATACATCCAGACAAGTGAAGACACATGAAAAGAATTATTCAACCTATGACTTATAGTTAGATGCAATCACTTTTAAACTAAAGGTGTGGAGGCATTATCTTTATGGAGTTCATTTTGAAATGTTCAACAACCATAAGAGCTCTAATTACTTATTTGAGAAAAAAGAACAAAATATGTGTCAAAGAAGATGGATGGACTTTATGATAGACTATGATTTTGAATTAAAGTATCAACCCGGGAAGGCCAATAAAATGGAAGACACATTAAGTGGGAGAGAGATGAATAAGGCAGAGTTAATGATATTAGAGTATAATTTGCTATAGAAATTTAGAGATATCGAACTAAAGTTTACATGGACTTAAGAAGGAGTCTTGTTAAGTCCGAAAAATGTTCTATGTGATCTTACAGATAAGGTATGACAAGCCCAATTGTTAGACGTGAACTTGAAATCCAAAGCTAACCAACAGGTTTCACCCGATCCGCGGATGGAGTTATTCTATTCAATGGGAGGATGTGCATAATGATTATGAGCAATAGTAATAAATCCTTGAAGAAACTCATAAGAGAAATTTCACCATTCATCCTGGTTCTTCTAAAATGTACCATAATCTTGAGTGTAACTTTTCGTGTCTTGGGATAAAAAGAGAAGTAGTACAGT